ATACAGCAATCTGTATACGGGATAAAATTGGGAGTTCATAACTCATTTGAATCAAACTGTGAAATATGATGTATGAGGAACTATGTAATGTTTTGAATGACCAACAATAAAAAAAAAAAGAGGTAAAAAAAAAAAAAAAAAGAGCACGTTGGTAGTCAGTGCTGTCTTTCAAATCACAGGCAGAGATTACAAAGTTCAGGCAGGGAAAAGTCCAAACTGCTAATACTATCAGCCACTAAGGGGGTTATTTCTAGATAGGGAAATTGAAGTTCCAAAGTTTATTTTAAAAACCAAGTTGGCAATTCTAACATTTCCTCATCTCTTCGATAGAGATAACCTTCCTGGGCTTCTAGTCTTCTGCCTTACCCAAGCCTAACAGCCTCTCCTCTTGGCTTCCCCAAACTTAACATCTTCAGGATTATTGACTTGGCCTGGATCTCACCTACCATTTTGAAATACCTAGCTGCACTCCCCATTTTCAGACAAGTGTTTGCCTAAATATTCCATCATTTACACAAAGGGGTAATTCTACATTACAAAAATAAACCAGACTCAGAAAGAACCATTATTGAATATTTTCTCTCAAACGAGGAAGGAATGAAAGGAGGGAGAGGGGAGGGGAGGGGAGGGGAGGGGAGGGGAGGGGAGATAAAGCAGGCTACTATTAAGGAAGGGGAAAGAGAACAGGAGGAGGGGCAAAGAGGAAAGAAAGAGCAGTAGGGAGGGTAGATATGATCAACGCACTGTTTAAGAATATATGAAACTGTCATAACGAACCCCGTTATTTTGAACAATTATCAGAGGGTAATAATTATAATTTTAAAAGGAAAAAAAAAAAGATTTTGTTTTGGAAAGTTTGGGCCCGCCCGATTTCGCAGCAGGCGGGCACCTAGGCCCCTGCATCAGGTTTCCGAAGGAGGGAGGGGAGGCAGGCCGCCCTTCCTTCCCCTTCTCACAGAGCACAAATGACAGAGGGACGCCACGGGACCACCAGACCCCGGCGGAGAGAACTGCGGGCCTGGAGGGGCCTGGAGGAGCCCGGCAGCCCGGCGGCCCGGCGAGCCTGGGGCCTTGGCTCGGTCCGCCCCTCCGGCCCGCCAGGCCGTCTCACCTTCCAGGTGCCCAGGCCCACTGCGGGGATCTTCGCCATGGCTCCCGCCGCGGGTCCAGACCTTCGCCACGGACCGGACCAGGCGAATCTCCGCGGTCGAGACGAGAGGCGACCGGAGTGCAGCGCGGAGGACCTCCTGATTGGCTGGAGCTGCGACAGGCTGGAGTAGGCTCCCCGATTGGTTGGCGGCGCTGATGCGGCCGGGCCAAAGGGCCAAAGGGCTCTCTGATTGGCCGGCGGTGCCGCCCGCCTCCTAGGGGCCTGACCACCTGTGTTCAGGTGTGCTTCAGGTGTGCTTCTTCTCCGGTCTCCTAGCAACGTGGCTGAAGCTTACAATGGGCATTGGGGGAGGGGATCCCAAGGTTTCCAGGCACTTTCCAAGCACAGAGCCATCCCCAGGCTACTTTTGGCTAAGAGCCTGGGATCCTCCTCTATCCACCACTTTACACCTGGGTCTAGGGTAAGCCTCTCACCCCTGGGGAAAGAACCTAACAGAAGGAAATAGGAAAGGCGGTGGGACAAACCTGCGTAGGGGGTCCAGCCTCTGCTGGGATCCGTCCTCTGCTTACAGCCTAGGGAAGTGTGGGCGGGGGTGGGGGGAGGAGATAATTTTTGTTGTTCTGTCATTGCTACGATTTGTCAGGGAAGAGTTTTTGTGGTCACTGTCATTCTTTGTGGTGGTCACTGTTCCATGTTGAACAGGGTGTTTCTCAGGGTATCAGCCCCGGTTAGCAGTCCTCCTTACAGGGTCTTGTCTGGGGTTTAGGTCAGGCTGACTGTCTTGCTGGGTCTGAGTAACCATAGGGTGACTCTTGTCTTAAGGTGGGAGATATGTTTTAAGATGTTGTTCATCCTAACAACTCCCACTCCCTGTGTGGAGCTGGTAGTATGGGATACAGAAGAGACGGTCTTAATTTCTTCTTTACAATTGGGTTGCTTGGAGCAGATGACCCTGAAGGTCCTACAGGCTTGAGGAGGTGTTTGTTAGCTTCAATACTCCATAATGACCCATGGTGTATCGAGTCCTTGGAAAATGCCTTCTTCCCCCAGGGGTCCTTCAGAGCAGACAGCTGCTAGGGGAGATATGAGAGGAGGACCTGAAGTGGTATAGAAAGTGGAAGACCCCAGGGCCTAGGGACAAGACTGTTGGGCTCTTAGGGATCTCATTGGAACAGCAGCTGAAGTCATGTTCAGGTTCTAGTGAAGAGCTTGCTGAGTGAGCTGGACACCTCAGAGCCAGCAGAGGGAGAAACCAGACAGGAGGGTTTTCCAAGGTCCCTCTAGCTTGCATTTGAGCCCCTGGAGACATCCAAAGACAGGTCAAAGTTTTGTTTCTGATTTTCCCTGCTTGGAGCTGCAGTCCAGGGCTGACCACCAGGGAAGAGCAGTGCCCCCTATACTCAGTAGAACAAGTGGAGCTTGGGTAGAGGCCCCACAGTGTCATTCTGGGTGTCCTGCCAACTGCCACTCAACTTGCACTTTACTTTGCTAGCATTCAGAGCCTCACGTATACTGCTCAGAGATTGGAAAAGGGACTCAGATCTCGCATTACTCACCCAAGCAACCATGCTCTGAGACTTCCTTTTGCAAAGATAGTATTAGGACCTGGGTGAGACTCTGGAAGGTATCGATACAGGCTCTACACTTTAGGAGCTCATAGTCTAGAGGACAGGTGGACTGAGTCACAAAACAAAATCCATGTGAAAGAGAAGAGTAATTGCTGTTGAGAAATGAAGCAGGATGCTGTGAGGGAGAGTCAGCAAGGGAGAATCCTAAAAGTCTCACTGAGGTGACATTTATGCTGCCATCAGAAAGAAAAGGGGAGCCAGCCTTGTAGCAGGATGGGAACAGTGTGCATGGGGAAGGCTCCACTGTGCAGAGATGTGGAGGTAGAAGTGAATTTAGCCAGAGAGGAGATTAGAAAGGAGGACAGTGTGGCTGGAAAGAGTTTGGGAGGAGAGGAGGGGAAGGAAGGAAGAGGGCAGGGCCAGACACTGAGATCTAGAAGATTGTACAGGATTTCTATTGCTGTTTCACAGCATTGCTCCAGACATAGTGGCTCATAACAAGCATTTAGTATGTTTCAGTTTCTGTAGTCTATCAGCAGCTTGGGACTGTGGTCTCCAATGAGGCTTGACTGGGATAGGATCCCCTTCTGAGCTCATTTACAAGTAAGATTCCATTTGCAGTGAGATCTTTTCCTTTTTTTAGCTGGGAACCTCCCTCAGGTTTTTGAAATGGGGGTCTCTCCATATGATGCATATTATAGCTCAGCTTGTTTCACTAGGGCAGAGTTGAGAATGGGAGGAAGAATATTGGACAGAGGATCCAGACAGAGATGTAATTCATCTTGGAAGGAACATCTAATCACTTCTGCTATATTCTTTTGGTTAGAAACTAGAGACTAAATCCACCCTCGGGAATGTGGAGATTGTCTAATGAAATATGTACCAGGAAGTGGGGGTTGCTGGAGCCTTTGTAGGGACTACTGGAAACAGGCCAAAGTAAGACACTTGTGTCTAAATATAAGTAGAAAGGGAGGCCCTTGGAAAGTTTAATGCCAGAGGGGATATCCAAATTTCATTTTATTTCAACCCTGGTCTTATGCAGATTAGAAAATGAGTCCAAGAAGGTAAGTGACTTTCACAAGATCGTGTAGCTGGAATCCCAGGATTATTTTGAATTGTATCGCATGCTGTGTCCCATCCCATTTTGTAATTCTTCAATCTCTAAGTTTATGCATTAGCTGCATGTCATTTCAACTCATGGATTTTAAAGGCACTATTTTGTATATCTGTTGGTATCTCCAGGAATTAAAGTCTAGATGATCCCCATTGAGCAGATGGGGAGACAGAGGAGGTCCTGAAAGGTATAATGACTTGTCCAGGGTCTCAGAACTGGGGAAAAAAAAAAGGGGGGAGCCATGTCTTAGCTGTCTCCTTAAAGCTGAGCCCTGGCTGCAGCCAGATCTTCGCTAGAGGCTGCTAGGGAATCAGGGGCTGGGGCTTCCTTTTCCTTTTTTTCTTTGAAAAAAGCATTCATATTGGCAAGTTTTTCCATCTTGCAGGACCATCAGAGTCTACATTACTGCTATGAGGATTCTCTTGTCTTTTGAATTCCTCCCACTGTGGCCCACAACTGACCACTGATTCTCCTCAGATGCTCCTGTGCTCGACCCCAGTCCTCTTCACCCTTGGACTGGACTCTAGGTCCTCCAGCTGGGCCTTAAGAAAGGGGCCTGCATATTCCCAGTGGGGGCACATTCTCAGGTAATTGGTGGTACTGTGACCAATCACCCAATACTGAGTAGTCTATTCTGTCTTTAACCTCGTCTTATAAACTTTAGAATCAATTTGTCAATATTCACAAAATGACTTCATGGAATTTTGATGGGAACTGCATTGAATCCTGAAATCAATTTTGAAAGAAACAACATCTTGACAATATTGTGTTTTCCTGCCCTTGAACTTAGGATGTGTCTCCATTTATTTAATTTTCTCATATTGTTCATCAGAGTTTTGCAGTTTTCTGACTACAGGACATGTGTAGGCTTTGCTAGATTTACACCTAAGTGCTTTGTTTTGGCAGTGCTAATATAAATGATATTCTGCTTCTAAATTTGGATTTCACTTGCATTTATACTATTATATAGAAAAACAATTAACTTTTGTATATAATCCTTGTGTCTTGCAATTGCTTATGTTTCAGGAAGTGTTTTTGCTGATTTTTCTTCTTCTTCTTTTTTTTTTACATAGATAAGATGTCACTTTGTGAACAAAGATGATTCTATGTCTTCCTTCCAATTTGTAATTCCTTTCTTCCTCCTTTTTTTTTTTTTGTCTTCTTGTATTATCTGGGTCTTCCAATACAACACTGAAAAAGAGTGGTGAGAGGGAACTTCATTGCTTTCTTCCCAACAGCAATAATTTTTAACAGCACAGTTTCCCAGAATGTGCCCAGTAGACTCAGGAAGCTGGCCGGCCCTTCAGGAACTTCAGCCTAGAAGATTTCTAATGGGCTTTTTTTTTTTTTAAACTGTCTCCTTGACAGATGCACTTGTACTTAAGGGCATAAGCTTCACACTTGAAGTACTCTTGTTGCCTGTTAACAGCATTCTGCTACAGCCGCTTTGGATAGTGCTGTTTAAGAAATTCTGCTTAATAAGCAGTTATTACTTCATTCTTAGGCATTGTCTTTCTCCTTTGGTTTGTCTTCAGTGAAAGCTGACATTTGCTTACTGTGGTTATTGTCTTGGTGATTGGCTCTCTGTGTGCTACACTTCAGATATGTTAGTAGCTAGTGTGTATCAGGTGGTTGGGAAGGAAGTAGTAATATGTAGGAGAGCCCCCATGAAAGCAGATAAAGGTTTTGTCCTTTTGGAAGATGAAATTTGGAAAGTTCACAAGGAATTATAGTATATACTAGAAAAGTAGCACAGAATAAGATTATATTATATTTGAAGGTTAATGGAACTCAAAAATGAAGAAATGATGCTAAATTGTGAAGCAATGAACAATTGAGATAAGCCTTAAAGGACAGATGAATAGAAGTGGTGATTGAACAGCTCAATTTAAAGATTCTCAGCTTAGAGCTTATTATTAAGGGGAAAAAGGAGAATGAAGCAGAAATACATCATGAATGTACTTTTAAAATTATACTTTGAGGATTATTTATATTACTATTCATAGATGGTTTATTCTTTAAGATGAAGGAAGTTAGAAAAAAAAAGTGGCTGAATAATTCAGATTGGATGCAGTGGTTCCCTTGTCCTGTGGCCTCCTTCACACAATATTAATAATAGGAAAGAGTCTCTGGGGCATCACCTGCACTGTGGTTCTACATTCTCTGGTATGGGAGGTAATAGCCCAGATCTGCTGCAGTCCATCTCCTTAGCAAACCTGTGACTTGGGAGCTGGATACTTCCAGACAACCAGATGTGATTTCACTGTGTACATCTGATTTTGAAAGATGACAACAGGGAGGCAAAATGCAGAAGCAGTGTTCCAGTGCATCTGGGCAGACAGGCACACTTGAGAAAGGGAAAGTGGGTCATCTGGGGCTGGAAGGCTGGAAAGAACCCATATAACAGAAATGCAGTCAGCCG